TTTTATCACCTCCGATACGAAACCCAAGGAAAAGCCGGCTCCATCGTAAAGCAATACCCGCTCAGCGATGATAACTTCGAGCTGGCCTGGGAAGACTCACGGTCACGATACGAAAACAAACGTATCCTGGTTTATAACCAAATCAAAATTTTGATGACTTTGCCGACTATTCAATCCGGCGGGCAACTTCCAAGGCTGCAGACATCAATCAACAACTGTCTGTCAGTTCTTAATTCCCAAGACGTCCAGACAGACAGTTGGGATCCTATATTGGTTTACAAATATACTAATCCAAATTACCCGAAACCACTCTGTCACTTTGGGAACGATCTCTCTCTTCTCAAAGAGATTTACCCTCATGGTCACAAATGGACGATTTCCTTACTTCAAGATGCGAAGTAGTCGAAAGACTTAACCGGCTTCATCCAAGCCAAAATAAACAAGTAAGAAAGTCTAAGTTTGGGCGGAGCCGAACATTAAATACCCGGCGTACGTATTAAATATATGTTTTCCACCTTTCCGAAAGCTACCGCTACATAAAAAGCCGGGGTGTATAAATTTTAAGTAAATTCGCGTCCTTAGATTTCGAAATTTTGAAGTTTCAAGCAGTTCTGAAATTTACCGTTATATGAAAAGCGGCCTCAATTTTAGTCAACTTTCAATAATTTTCAACGTTTTGCTTTTATGTGGCAAGCACAACAACCATACCGAGTTTGGTACAAATTGGTAGAACGGTTACCGAGATACATATATGTGATCATAAGTGGGCGGTGCCACGCCCATTTTCCAAGATTTTATCACAAACGTATTTCTTGGTTAAGAGTTGTTGCAAGCATATATTTTGAATAAATTAGCTTTAATATTTACTGATTTATCGAAGATTTTGTATTTCTCTAAATTACCGTTATATGGGATGTGGGCGTGGTTATTGTCCGACTTTAAAAATTTTCGGCCATTTGGTATGTTGTGCGAAGGCCAACAACTGTGCCAAGTTTGGAAGAAATTGGTGCAGCGATTACCAAGATATACACATGTAAACATAAGTGGGCGTGGCTACGCCCGTTTTCCGAAAATTTATAATATTCTTATTTTTCGTCTAAAACTTATTGTAAAAATCAATTTTGAGTGAATAATCTCCAGTAGTTACTAAAATATTGCAGTTTTCGTATTTCTGAAAATTACCGTTATATGGGAAGTGGGCGTGGTTATTTTCCGATTTTAAAAATTTTCGGCCCTTTGGTATTTTGTGCGAAGGCCAACAACTGTGCCAAGCTTGGAAGAAATCGGTGCAGCGGTTACTAAGATATAAACATGTAACCATAAGTGGGCGTGGCTACGCCCATTTTCCCAAAATGTATAATATTCTTATTTTTCGTCTTAAACTTATTGTAAACATCAATTTTGAGTGAATAATCTCCATTAGTTACTAAAATATCGCAGTTTTCGTATTTCTGAAAACTACCGTTATATGGGAAGTGGACGTGGTTACAGTCCGAATTCGCTCATTTTCAATACCAACCTACCTTGGATAAATGGAAACCTACATACAAAATTTCGTTGAGATATCTCAATTTTTGCTCGAGTTATCGTGTACACGGACGGACGGACAGACAGACATGGCTTAATCGATTTCTCTTTACATTCTGATCATTTATGTATATGTAGCGGCTAGGTTATTACGAATTAAAACACTGGATAACCGACTACGTTAAATGTTTATTATTTATTAATATATCAAAATATCACAAATTATTAACTTCAATTAACTTTAAGTATATTGATTGCAAACTACGGCGCGTGTTTCTCGGTGAGCTGCTGATACAAAAAAGGGTAGAATATAAGTATAATAGAAAATATGAAAAGAATGACCTAACGGGCTATTTGTGTTTACTTTGCAGAAGAGTGAATGCCAAAATATGAGAATTAACAAATTAGAGAAATCTTTTACAATATGTGGTGTATGCGGTATTCACTACACTACTCCCCTCCTTTGAAAAAGTTTAAATTGTAATATTAATAGATATTTGGTTTAAAGCTTTAAGTTAGAATGTAAATTTTACACTTTAAATCTAACTGCAGCAGCTTGACACGATGTCATGGTAATCTCATCGGGATTATTCTGTTCGTTGGAAAAATCGTCAGCGACGTATACTGGCTTCAACCTGTCTACGGAAATTGCAGTTTGCTTGCCTCTGTAGTCCACGATGAAATACTTCTCATGGCGTGTGATGACCTTATAGGGGCCCTCTTATGGCATAGAAAATGTAATTTCGATATGGTCGTTTCTTACCAACACATGCGAGCAAGTGTTCAGATCCTTGAAACAGAAAACTGATTTCTTGCCATGCCGCGACATTTCAGCAGGTGCCAAATTTTTAAAGTGGCTTTTTTTTTTGCTAATAGTTCGCTAGCTGTAATTTGTTTGTTCGAAGGCGCTAAGAACTCACCCGGCAAGCGTATTTATTCGCCGTAGACGAGTTCAGCGGGAGTGGCTGCAATGTCCTCCTTCCACGCAGCACGTAGCCCAAGCAATACAACTGGCAATGCATCGACCCATGTTTCGCGATGACACAAGAGCGCGGATTTTAGTTGACGATGAAGCCGCTCGACCAACCCGTTTGACTGCGGGTTATATGGTGAGGTCCTCAGGTGTTTGACGCCGAGAATCTGTGACAGTGAGTTAAACAGTTTCGATTCGAACTGTCGTCCCTGGTCGGACGTGATTCGTTTAGGCACACCATACCTCGCGATCCAGTTTGCTATTAAAGCACGGGCCACAGCGTCAGCTGTGATGTTTTCTAAAGGGATCGCCTCAGGAAAACGTGTGAAGCGATCAATTATAGTAAAACATTGATTAAAGCCTCTGGACGAAGGTAGAGAAACTAAATCAATGTGTATGTGCTCAAAGCGCTGTGACGGTGGCTGAAAATTTGCCACTGGTGTTGATACATGGCGCTGAATTTTGTTAAGCTGGCACTCGACTCATAACTTTGCCCACACTGTACAGTCTTTGTTGATCGACGGCCATACATAGCGTTGACTCACCAGTTTTTGCGACGCTTTGATTCCAGGATGTTCCAGAGAGTGAAGGGAATCGAAGATTCGTTTCCGCAACGAGACTGGAACATATGGTCGTATACTGCCTGCTGATGTGTCGCAGTAAAGCGACGGCTCATTAACGTCGGCCTGTATTCTCTGAAGTTTTAAAACTGTGGACGCGTTACTAATAAGGTGTTTCAGCTCTGCGTCGTTACGTTGAGCTGTAGCGAGCTCTCGAACTGGAACTGTAGCAGAAATTACCTCAACGCGAGAGAGCGTATCGGCAACGACGTTATGGTGTCCAGAAATATGCGTTATGTCAGAGGTAAACTCTCCTATATAATCCAGCCGGCGAAACTGCCAAGGTGAAGCTCCCTCAGTACGTTGCTGAAATGCGTTCTGTAATGGCTTATGATAAGTGTACACGATCACGTGCCGACCTTCGAAGATGTGGCGAAAATACTTAACGGCTTCGTATATAGCGTGAAGCTTACGATCGTAAGTCGACAGTTTCTGCACGGAACGCGGTAGTTTCTTGCTGAAGAACGCAAGTGGCTGCCACTTGTTTTTTACACTCTGCTGAAGTACTGCGCCGATGCCGTAATCCGATGCGTCACTAAAAATCGCCCATTGTGCGTTAGTATCTGGATGGACTAAGAGTGTGCTCTGAGTCAGTGCTTGTTTCGCGTTGTCGAATGCAGCTTTCAGCTCGTTCGTCCATATAACCTTTTGGGAGTTTTTAATGTTCGCGCCCTCGAGTAATGCATTAACCGGCGCCAGGATTTCAGCAGAATTTTTGATGAACTTCCTATAAAAGTTAATTGTACCCAGAAACCTTCGCAAATGTTTAATTGTGGTGGGTAATTCCATGCTGAGTATAGCATTGACCTTTTCAGTTAATGGAATGATACCTTCATTATTAACCGTGTGCACCAAAAATTGCACCTCGGTCTGACCCAGGCGTGACTTGGATTCGTTTATTACCAAACCATAATCCTGGAGGCGTTGAAACAGAAGTTCCAGGTGTTTCATATGTTCGTTTTCATCGGATGATACGACTAAAATGTCGTCGATGTAGACGAATATAAACGGCAGATCGCGAGTTACTTCATCCATAAATCTTTGAAACGTCTGAGCGGCGTTTCGTAGCCCAAAAGTCATTTTTGGAAACTCAAAAAGCCCGAAAGGCGTAATTATCGCCGCTTTACAGACGTCTTCATGTGCAACCGGAATCTGGTTAAACGCACGTACCAGATCTATAGTCGAGAAAACTCGTTTCCCATGGAGAGTCGCAGTGAAATCTTCTAAGCATCGAACCGGGTATTTATCTGGTACAGTGCGCGCGTTTAAACTTCTGTAGTCGCCGCATGGTCGCCATCCTCCAGAACTTTTTGGGGTAAGGTGCAGCGGCGATGACCAAGGACTGTTCGAGGGTTGAGCGATGCCGAGTTTAATCATCTTGTCGAACTCTTCCCGTGCAGACTTCAGCTTATCCGGTGGCAATCTGCGAGCCTTATTTGTCACAGGGGGCCCGTCAGAAGTGCGAATGTGGTGAAGTGTAGCATGTTTCTTGACCTTAGCTACTACTGCAGGATTTGTAATTTCGGGGTACTTCCGGAGTAAAGCATGATAAACAGTATCACCTTTAATAGCTTTGACCGATATCGCGTTCGTTGATCGAGCTAGAAATCCAGCTGACGTTAAACCGGTGTGTCCGTCGCGCAGGCATTTTCTTTTTAAGTCGACTAATAAGTCAAAGTGACTCAAAAAGTCGGCTCCAACAATCGGTTTGGTAACATCAGCGACGATAAATTGCCACACAAACTCACGGCGGAGACATAAATTGACTTACATCAACGATGTACCGAATGTTTGGATTTTAGAACCGATAGCTGCTTGAAGCTGAAAGTTTGCTGGAGACGATTTATTTCTATAGGCGGTGAGAATTGGATAGAGAATCACTATCCGCCATTAATGATTCTCCGCGGAGTTTCCCGGATATTTTCATCCTTCTTTGCAACGCTTCGCATTTTTACCAAACTTTGCATGGTAGTACAATATCCATTCGAATTCGAGCTTCGGGACTTAGAATGACTACGTGACCTAAGCCTCGCGTGCTGTCGTGTCTTATTTCTGGATTCGCGTTTATTAATAACGGTTGTCAAAGCCGCTACTTGCTTTGTTAAATCCGAGATTTGCTTTGTTAAGTCTGAGTGCACGGGACTGGCTGCCAATGATGAGATTTGCCTATTTTGCAAAATCTCATGAAGCTTATCAGCACTAACACCTAAATTTTCTAAAGTTGCATTCGTTTGCAACGCTAACATTGCGCGCGTGTCTTTGGGTAGAGCAGAAAGCCATTTTGCTTTCAGCACGTCCTCGTCGACACCTGGTACCAAAGACTTCAAATGGCGTAAAAATTGGGATGGCGTGCGGTCGCCAATCTCCTCTCCATCTAGAAGTTGCTGTAATTTGGCTTCTTTCGATTTGGAAAAACGTGCAATTAATGCGTTTTTCAGCGTAAAGAAAGGTGAAGAAGTTGGCGGATTAACGATTATGTCTTCTACCTCAGCAGCATACCGTGCGTCAAGAACGGAAATCGCGTGATAAAATTTGTCCAAGTCTTTCACAACGCCCAATATTTTAAACTGCGCTTCAATTTGAGCAATCCACAGCGAAGGTTTATCCGGAGTAAATGGTATTGGCCGGATAACGTTAGATATCGGCTGAAGTGGTTTGATATCACCTGCCTGGTCCTCTGACGGTGGATCTCTTGCGTTGGTCATTTCGCGGACTTAAACTTAAAGATTATTTTCGCGCGTGAATACGCAATTTTATCAGAGTTTTCTTGCACGAGTCGGCAATGTGCTTACCGCATGTTCAGGCGATTTATTATGAAAACATTTCATTAATCGTAATTTATTTTCGCGATCTGGGTCACCAATGTAGCGGCTAGGGTATTACGAATTAAAACACTGGATAACCGACTACGTTAAATGTTTATTATTTATTAATATATCAAAATATCACAAATTATTAACTTCAATTAACTTTAAGTATATTGATTGCAAACTACGGCGCGTGTTTCTCGGTGAGCTGCTGATACAAAAAAGGGTAGAATATAAGTATAATAGAAAATATGAAAAGAATGACCTAACGGGCTATTTGTGTTTACTTTGCAGAAGAGTGAATGTCAAAATATGAGAATTAACAAATTAGAGAAATCTTTTATAATATGTGGTGGATGCGGTATTCACTACATATACATTTGTCTATATCTATCTCGATTTGTTTTGGCTATTACAAACAACCGTTATGTGAACAAAATTAATATACCCTTGTGCACAAGTGCGCTCGTGTATAACAAAAACCAGTCGCTCATCAAAATGCTGCGCAAAACAGGTCCTTTAACAGGACGCAAACCTTTGTGGCAGAACCTAAGATGGAAACAACTTGCTCTTACTGCAAGTCCCCTCATCCCAAACCAAGCTGCAACAATGCGCTGTGCACAAACTGACTTGGTACTACCAATAGCACTAATGAGTGTCCGAGCAAGTGGTCATGTACACATTGTTAACAACGGCATCACTCCCTGCTGCACATGAATCCGAAACCACAATCTCGACACTCCAGTGCGCGAGCGAATGAAACCGCCGCACAACACACTACTGCCCAGTCGACACCTCCCGCTCGACAAGCGCAGTCAAGCTACAATTCCAGCGAGCAACCGTGCTGTTCCAAACAAGCACAAATACAATCATTGCACACCGACTGTGATAGCAAAATTCTTCTTCCAACTGCCATGGTCGCGGTTGGACACGAAGGGGAATTGTTTCAACTTAGAGCCTTGATTGATCAAAACTCACAGAGAACTTTCATTTCCTCGAAAGTTCAGAAGCGGTTGAAACTACCATTCGAACATTCCAAGTTCGAAATTTCCGGCATGGGTGGACACGTAGTACATAGCTCCTCAAAGCTTTGTCCACTCACATTGGTTGCACCCAAAACCATGCAACGGATAAACACACAGGCTATCGTGTTACCTCAGCTCACGAGGCACATGCCTACATTCACCATTAGCCGTGAAAACTCGCAGCGATTCAAGATCCTTGAACTTACTGACCCAAGTTGCCACATACCAGCCCAAACTGATATGGTAATCGGCAGCGATAAACTTCCACAAATCCTGTTGGAAAGTATACAAAAGATTTGCGACACTATACTTGCGCAAAGGACAATATTTGGCTGGATTCTCAGTGGTCCAATAACCGAAAATGTAGTATCATTCTCGACACAAGTAGAAGAGTGCTCGAATACAACCAGTGTTTCCAGGTCTTCGGCATGAGAAAATGTCCCTCTTGGTGTGAAAAAACGTCATACCCTACCCAAAAACGTCTTATTCAAATGAATGTATATACAAAGGTACATATGTACGTAAGGTATATTAAAATGTCATTTTGAAAGAGCACATTTAAAATTCATTGTAAACTGGTTTGAGATCGTTAATATAAAAATCATTTTATACACTGAGAAAAAGGATTAGTTTCGACAACTAAAGATATTTAGTTCCCGAATTTTGACAATATGACCAAGGATTGGGAACTGGTACCATGGGTTGGTAATTATAACTAAATATATTAAAGCTTCTATTATACATCTAGGTTCTACCAAATCGTCAATTTAGTTGAAGGGTTTGGTAAATACTAATAAATATTTTTTTGAAGCATATTTCTACAAATTCCATTCAACTTAACGTATGGTTCATAAAAGGATGTCATTAAGCTCTGCTAATACAGACAAGCTTTCTTTCAACACATGGTTTAGTCATAGTTATCAAATCTTAGTTGGGGAAACCACGATTTGGTTTGAGAGCGGAACATATTCATGCTTGTGAGCCACCCCTAAATAATGCTCGGCGCTTTCTGAGCGTTTGTGTGTTTCGCATACGAAGAGTGCAAGCTGAGCAATGCACACAGTCCCACTTACTGAATCGTTTGAATGCGCTAGTATGCCGACCATTGCATAAAAACGATTCAATGAATGAGACTGTGTGCATGGAAATCACTGCTCCGCTACCGCTCTTCGTATATGGGTGAAACACGCGTGTGGTCACAGAGCGCTCAGTAAGCTATGGCATGTCGATCACTGCGCTAGGTAGAGAAAGAAAAGTGTATGCTATGACATGCCCAGGCTTGTTTGTCTCAGTTTCAGTTTTGCCATCGCCGCGAGTTGTTTCGGTGTGCGCATAGTTATTTAAAAATATAAAGTTTGATGCCAACCGGGGTTTCTCAGTGGATATATAATTCATGTGAATTATAATTTGAAAGTATCTATTTAGCCAAGGAAAAAGCAAAGCAGTATACTTAAACCAGCACTTCCAGCAGATATTGACCTGGGTTTTCGCACGGCTATTCCTGTTTCATCGTTTCCTTTTAGGAAATTCTTACCACCATATACATATGTATTATTTATACCATGATACAAAAAAGAAGGTAGTTCCATTTAATGACATTCGTTGTTGTTGTTAACCATTTGACTTTAAATAAAATTATGACAANGATACAAAAAAGAAGGTAGTTCCATTTAATGACATTCGTTGTTGTTGTTAACCATTTGACTTTTAATAAAATTATGACATTTCATCAAATTCATGCTACCTGATCACTAGAAAAAATATTTTTTTGAAAGCAGAAGATTTTATCTGTACATTCAAAGATGTGGAATATGATGGACTTTAAAATTATACCGCCTACATAATTTCGAAAATGGGGTTGATGACTAGGGTTCAGAACGCATGAGGAAAGTGATCAAAATTATACTTACATATCGTCGTTTATACTACGTTCAAATTGGCCCCGTTTAACTCGTTAAATGAAAAAGAGCTTTTTGGTAACACAATCGTCCACATTGAACATTTGGAGTTAACCTTGACGGTTGTTTGATTACCAATAACAATTCGAAACAAATATTCAAAATAAAGTCTTTGTGTTTCAATTTGTTTTGTGCGAATGTCTGCTTCTTGATATTAACGCATACGGATAACTTAGAGACTTCAAAATGTTTAGTTCGTATGCACTATTTATCTCTGCGTACGATGAGACCTCATGGGAAATAACTAATTACCGCCTGGGCCTCTTTTTAGACAGGCAGACATGCATACAATTATGATATTTTTTGATAATTTTTAATTTTTAATAATTTCCTGAATATAAATTTTTTGAACGTTGGCGTGTCAAATGAAAGCTTTGGGTCTTTCTGATTGGCCGGAGCAGAAAGCTTTCTGATACAACTCTGCGCTGAACTGGTTTTCAAACGAGTTAAAGATTTAACCGGTTAAATTTTCCAACAACAATTGCATGGGATTTAAATAGTTTATGAACTTCTTTTGTTCATTTAACTGGTTCAAGCCCATTTAACATGTTTAGCTCGTCAATTTGAACGTAGTATTAAAGTACAAAACCGCGTATCGTCGTTCTGCAAAACCGCGTAACTGACATTTTTTGCCAAAAATTGGATTTTCTCACACAAGCTCTTGGCTCGAGCCTTATCCATCCGTCCAGAAATATGCTAGCAAGAAATGCGATTGATTTATAAAAAAGATAATAATTTTGAAATATGAGTGTTTTTACTCTCTAGGAAATAATTTATGCAACTTCACATACGCAGTTTTGCATTTTGTTGATACGCGGTTTTGTACTTTATACGACGATATGTTAATTGTTTATTGGAGGGTGGTCTGTTTAAGCCGACTTCAGGTTTTTTGCATACATTAGAAACTTTAAGTTCAAAATTTGTGAAAGCTAATTTGTTGCAAAATCTGATGAGAAAATTAAAAGTAAATTTAAACCAAAATATAAAAAGGTTTTATTTGGGAAGAACATTCTTAAGAATTAGATTTTTAGATCGCATGATTGCATTCAAAATAAGAAAACGAAAAAATAACAACATAATGCGCGCGTGGTTTTTATTATAATATAAAAAGAACAATTACGATGAAGTCTTCTTTAATAGTCTATATTTTATATATTTTGAATAAAAAATAGTGCGAGCTACGTAAGTAAAAGAAGTACCAAGCACTGATAATGGTTTTTGATTTGAAATATTACAACATTGGTATAAATATGGGAAGGAAAATACTCAGATTTATTGTTTTAATATTATCAAAGTGGCAAGGCCGATGATAATACTCACAATTTATGAAACTTCAAAAAAATTTATTATGCGTCAAAAGTTGTTTATTGAAACTACCTTCTTTTTTGTATCATGATTTATACTAGTAACTATTTATGTAAATATGTATGTATTTTTTATGCTTAGGATATGCAAATAAAAGAAGAAAGTAAACACAACAACCATCGATTAAATTTTTATTTGTGTCAAACTGAAACTTTTTTTTCCAATAATAAAGGGTTAGCTGATTCACGTCTACAGCAAGTTCACAAAATTAATTGAAAACTTGTATCAACCAAAGCATTGTTTATATTTGCTCAACAATGATTTTATTCAACTAACAATATTGTCCACTCAAAGTAGTCGTTTTGTAAATATTAAAAAATATACGTTTGTCCCAACTAGAAATCTCAAGAAAATTGCAGACTTTCTTGAACTAGATATTTATTTCGCCATATCCAACTATGCCACTTGGTCACTATAACCAAATCTTGGTAATTATAGCTAAACCTATTTCTAAGTGTACATCCACTTGTGATCAGCTGATTAAGTCATCACAATTTTGATCGATTATGGCTATTTCTCTATTGTTTATTCAATGTTTATTATTTTTCCA